TTCCCTTTGGATGTTTGTGTTCTGCTGTTTGTGGCTCCCTCTCCTGGGTTTAGATGAGCAAGGGAGGACCCACGTTGAACCCCACTGTCAAGTCTTTCCTGGTTAAAGTTGCTAGCCCAGGAAAGGTACTGTTATCCTCTAGCTTTTTGCCTGGAGGCTAGCAGTTGAGGTTACTTGATGGGTTTTGGGTTGTCAGTTGATTGAAAAACTTCCTCAGGTGCTCTGCAAAAGGTGATCTCAGGAGGGTGGGGCAGATTCTGGTTGTTAATGAGCTTCAATTAGCACTTCAATGGCCCACAGGGTGGGGTTGGATCTCCGAGGGAGGGCCTGCTGCCTCTCTCAGTGCCCTGGGAAGGAGCAGTATGGCCACCGTCCTGCATGGCTGCAACTCAGCCAAAGCTCTGAGCGCCCTCCAAACCCCGAGTGTCCCAACACAGTTCCAGTCCAGTCCGCCCTCCCTCTGCCGGAGCCCAAGGTGAGTGGCTGTGGCTGTTTCAGCCTCTGTCCCGGCTCTGCGCTGGGAGTGTGACCCGAGGGCACCGCTCCCAGCTGAGGCCGCTGCCGAGCTGCGGAGCTGCCGACCGTGGGCTCCCAGCCCCGTCTCGCGCCTTCGCAAGCCTACCAGATCGAGTCAGTGTCCCTGCTTATATGGTCCTCACAAGCTGCTTTTCTGTTGGTTTTTTCCGTCGATTTGTCTGTGTTGTAGTTGTAATTCCAGTTTGGTTCTCGGAGACGGTCTATGTAGCTCCGTTCACTCCGCCGCCATTTTGGAATCCTTTATTCACTTTTTAACTCATGTTTATTGTTGAATGTATTACCGATGTCCCCCCCTTTTTTCCCCATTGACCCCCACCTCCCCAATCCTGCCCCCTCCTGCCTTCCCCACACTATTGGCAGTGTCCATTGGTTATGCATATATAAATAGAAGTTCTTTGGCTTATCTCATGCCGCCCTCCCCCCCCTTCCCTTTGAGGTTCATTAGTCTAACAACGAATTTGTACTACTTAATTCCTTCATCTTTTTCACCCAGCCCCCAGCTATCTGGCAAGCAACAAAATGTTCTCTGTATCTATGATTCTGTTTCTGTTCTGCTTGTTCGTTTTGTTTATAGATTCAATTGTTGATAGATATGTATTAATTGCCATTTTATTGTTCCTATTTTTGTTCATCTCCTTCAAGAAGACTCTTCCACATTTCGTATAATATTGGTTTGGTGGTGATGAACTCTTAGCTTTTTCTTGTCTGGGAAACTCTTGATAGGGCCATCGATTCTAAATGATAGCTTTGCAAGATAGAATAATCTTTGTTGTAGGTCATTGCTTTTCATCACCTTGAATATTTCTTGCCACTCCTTTCTGGCCTGCAGAGTTTCTTTTGAGAAATCAGCTGACAGTCTTATGGGAGCTCCTTTTTAGGTAATGAATTGCTGTTTCTCTTGCTGTTTTTCCTTGATCAACCTTATAATTAGTGTTTTGAACTCTGCAGCTGATTGATTACTTATCTCCATTTTTTTAGTTCTTTTGTTGGAGTTTTGTTCTTTTCTTTCATTTGGGATGTATTTCTTTGTCTCCTCATTTTGGCTGCTTCCCTGTGATTGTTTCTGTGTATTAGGTAGAGTTGCTATGTCTCTTAGGCCCACCACACAGAGCAAGTCTTTCTTCAGCAGGGCTCTGGTACCCACTGAGTCTGCTCATTAAATGTGTTACTTGTGGAGGTAGTTGGGTGGTGGTGTTTCGATGTGTTCTGAAGCTGTCCACTGGGTGTGCTGGCTCTGGGGCAAGGTCAGCCTCTGCCTGTGTTCTATCCAGTGCCACCTGTCATAAGCTACAAAGTGATCTGCAGATGGCTGCTTCTTGTGCTGGGCTTGGAGGTGCCCCGGAAAAGCCAAGTTGTGAATCAAGGCTGGCTGCTTCTAGTGCCAGGCCTGGGGCCCCTTAACGAGAGGTATGGGGCTCGCTGAGACCAGATGCTGCTTGCTTGAGAGAATTTACGAAAATCTGAAGCAGGATCCAAGACAGGCCATTCCTATGGTTCTCACCAAAGGAACATCAGCATCCAGCATCACATCTGTCTGAGTGAAAGCTGCCTCTCCAGCCCTCCTCCCAAGGGCAAACAGCTCAGTTCTTCCCTATATGACTGTGGTGTCTTTCAACCTGCTTTCCTAATGCTGGAGCTTTGAGGGAGCCAGTCCGTGTGCGGGCCCTTTAAGAGGAGCTGCCTGGGGCTCCAACAGTCTCAGCCTCCCTCAGCCTCAGTTCCCACTGGTTTTCCAGCCAGTAGTTATGGGAATTCTCTTCCTGGCACTGGAACCCTGAGCTGGGTGTCTGGTGTGGGATGGGGATCCCTCAGTCCTCAAGAAGCACCTTCCAAGCCGAGGTGTCCCCCTGATTATTATCCACCACACGTGGGTGTGGGACCAGTCTCAGTGGGGCTGTTTCTTTAATTCCGTAGTTGTAGGACTTCCATTCAGCTCGATGTCAGGCATTTCTGAAGGATGGTTTTGATATAGATTAGTTGTAATTTTGATGTGGTTGTGGGACCGTGTTTACCTACCCCGGCATCTTGACCTGAAGTCTCCTTTTTTGTTTTATTTTTAATGAAGCAAGTTGCATCAATATCTCCTGGAAAAGAACAATCACCCAGAAATCTTTTGCTCAGAGCATTTTTGGAGATTGTGCAGCTTGGCCCTGCTCCTCAGTGTCCTGAAGGAAGTGAAACTATGTCAGTCTGTGTCCCCACTGAAATGTGGCAGATACCATGAGAATATGATGTCCAGAGGAGCCCAAAGCTTCTCCCAGGGGCATAAAGGGGCCTGTCTCCAGTGCTGCCACAAAATGTGGCTGTGAGTTGGGCAAATATCTCTACCTCTGCCCGTGGCCTAGTGAGCTGCACCACCTTGAGTCCTAGACTGCTCAGAGGATGGGCTCTTCGGACAGGTGGTGTGAGAATTATGTCTGTGGGTGAAGGGACAGCAAAACACTTTGACAGATCCCCTTGCTGTCCTGGAACTTAATCTCAGTATAATTAAAAGAGTGAATCCAGAGGAGGCACCTCTGATTTGGCAGGTTCTAAAACAGATGACATTTCTCATATATAAATCTATAAATTCAAAGTGTCCTAATCAAAATCCCAGTATAGTATTTTTTTGGACCTTGACAAGCTGATATCAAAATTCAACTGGAAGAAAAAATGGACAAGGACAGTTTTGTTTTTTTCTAATTCATGAAGAGAACTCTACCTATTCAATATAACAATATATTAAAAAACTATAATGATTAAAACAAAGTCCAGTAGCATATTAGAATAGGCAATAGTAGGAAGAGATAAATCTAATGTTGGACTAGAAAAACAAATCCAGATTTGAATTCCACAGGCCTATTTGAGTTTATTTGATGTAGCTTTCATATATATATATATATATATATATATTTTTGCTTTTACTTCACCGACAATTCAATGTTAATATCAAAAGTAAAAACGGACGCAGCAATTTCTTGTTTGTTATACTACTTTTATGCTGTTCTCTTTCAATCATTCTTGTAGTCCTCAGAAAAAGGAGAGAGGCTGAACGGCACAGACCTTGTTCCCAGCGGCTTGGTCTCCGCTGAGGAGGCCAGTGTGCCTGTCCCTGCAGATGGCAGGCCAGGCCAGAGGAGGCCACAGGCTACAGTCCTGCCTCTCTTTCTGAGAATAACAGCAACATTATACAGTGATACCTCGGTTCTCGAACATAATTCGTTCCAGGAGGACGGTCGAGAACCAAATTGTTCGAGAACCGAAGCAATGAAACCCAAAAGGAAATAATGGAAACTGGATTAATTCGTTCCAAGCCCCAGAAAATGCCTATTTACTGGCCTAATTTGTATATAATATGTAGAAAAACATAAGTCTCAACAAGAAATAAAAGTGTACAGTATGTCTAAGGGTTAAATTCAGTGTAAAGCGTGACTCTCTCCACAAAGCGTGACTCTCTCTCTGCACTCACACTGATGACGCAAGCAAGGCGCGCTGGGCCGAATGAACGCCATTCGGCTCAACTCGGCTCATCTCGGAAGTTCGAGTTCCAAATATTTGTTCAGATTCCAAGACAAAAGTTTCTCGAATCTCCTGGTCGAATACCGATTTGTTCAAAATCCGAGGCGTTCGAGAACCGAGGTATCACTGTATATCAGGCGGGTTCTACGTGCTTTGCGTGTACTGAGTTGGGTAACTTCTTCAATGCTTCGCAGCTAGTAAAGATTTTAATGTCAGTGGGGCTTCAGAAACAGGTGGCCTCCCCAGGACTTCAATCCTCCATTGTCTTTTTTTTACAGTATAGTCCTGCATACAAAATCATATTAGTTTCAGGTATGCAACATAGTAATTTGACATTTTATAGCATACAACATGACCCCACATTGTCTAGTAACCATCTGTCATCACTGTACAAAGTTATTACAATATTATTTATTGACTATATTCCCCGTGCTGTACTTTACACCTCTGTGACTTATTTATTCCATAACTAAGTGCAGCACCCCGCCATCCTCCCTCTTTTAATGTTTCCTCATACTGCTGTGTTAGTGTACCTGACATTTTGGTAGGCTTCCTCCCATATCCATGCTCTGGCCTCGTGGGCAGCCATAGTTCAACTGCTCCCCATCGGTCCAACCCAAAGGGAATTCTGGAGCTGGGAAATGACCCTATTGTAGCTTTTACTGCATGTCTTCAGTGTATACGATATCAGTGTTTGCGTCCTTTACTCAACAAGTGGGTGCCTTCAGACCAGAACCCTCCATTCATCATTTTATTCCTAAAGTTTATCACAGTGCTTAACAGATGCTAGGCATCAAATAATTTTTGATAAATTAATTCTGAACCAAATTTTACCAGAATTAGTGGAAATGACCTGGATATAGTCATACTGCATCTTCTCAATGATCCAAACGACTGAATCTCCAGGCTTATGTGGTGGTCACTGTGCCTGCCCACCCCACCCCCTTTTCCTTTCATTGTTGCAGCGGATGGGCTCAGAACGAACGGAGATGCGGAAGCTACAGATGTCTGCCGCCCAGGAGACTTCAGAATCCCTCCCAGGCCGGCACAGAGTGGGGAACCGAGGATCCAATGCGTGTTGCTTCTGCTGGTGCTGCTGTTGTAGCTGTTCTTGGTGAGGTTTGGGGCTTTGTAATTAATGTGCTCCTGGCTGAGAAACGGTACCTCTGAACTGTGCCAGCTTGTGATTAATCCAGTAGTGTTTTTTAAACAACTACCATATGTCTGACACTGACTTGGGTTCTGTGAAGGACATCAGCAACAAAAACGAAGAGGCTACACCCTCGCTCTGAAGGGACCTATATTCAAATTCCTGAAAAGAGGCTGATGTATGTTAAAAAACTAAAGAAAAATCTAAGGCAGTTGGTGACAGAATATTAATATTTGGGCAGAAACGATGCCTAGATGATTAGAAAGGAGTGAACTCAAGGAACTCTACTTGGTTTTAAAGGCGTTGTGGAGGAGTTAGAACTTACGGGGGGTCTTCAGGGCTATTAAGTACAAAGAGCCTGGGTTTTATCCTCTGTTGCTTCTCCCTTACTAATCTTTTTTGTTTTTTAATAAAGAAAAATGTCAAAACATATGCTTAGCAGGAAGAGAAAAAAAACTAAAAATATAAGTTAACTTACTAATAGAAGAAGAAACACAATCATTGCTTAAAAAGAGATATAAAATTTGAATATACAACACCTTTGACCATTTGAGTCACACAGTTAAAAGTCAAGAGAAATGTATATGATTTATACCTAAAAATCATAGGAACATTAGATTGCATTTCTGAAATATTGGATATAAAATGTGCTTAGTGCCAACCAAATGTTGAATTTAGGCAATTCAATTATTGTAAATTTATATAGGCTTGAGTACAAGTTGAACCAAGACCTCACTATCCAGTGAAGAAGAGAAAATAATATAGGGACTGATCAAGAATTGTGATAGGACCTGGTCGGTTTGGCTCAGCGGTTAGAGCGCCGGCCTGCGGTCCAAAGAGACCCAGGTTCGGTTCCCGCTAAGGGCGCGTACCTGGGTTGCAGTTTGTCCTGGGCCCTGGTTGGTCCTGCGGGTGGCAGCCACTCTATGTGTCCCTTTCACATGGATGTTTCTCTCTCCACCCACCCTATCTGAACAAAAAATGGAAAAATGTCCTCGAGTGAGGATTAAAAAAAAGAACTGTGACAGAATTGGGGGGTGGGAGGTGGGGGGATTGAAAATGAAGTGTCCAGGAAAGTTTGGTCTGCTCTGCTTGACTTGGACTAGTGTTAATTTACAAGAACGTCTAATCTGGTGGATGAGGTCCAGCAAATGACACTCCAAGGACTGATGGAATCATGATGCTGGGTGCTGTGTTCATTCGGGACAGTCCAGACAGCCAGTGGGAATATGGGGAGACAGGGCTGATAAGAGCTAAGCTGTCTGTCATCCAAGGCAAGACTTCATCGTCAAGTAGGAGTCTAGAGGACAGGCAGGAAATCAGAGGAATGACGCCTGTTGGCACACCCTACACACGTCGCTGTCTAGGGCCCCCTGAGGCGGGGAAGATACCCACCAGTGGTGAAGGACTGTGTTTAGACTTCCTTTTCACTCTCACTCTGCTTATCAGTCTCACTGAGATGATTCAAGATTACCTGAGAGATGTACAAAAATATCTGGGTGCAGGTGAGACTCCCAGCTGGCATTTACCCCATCCTCCCTCCCTCTCAACTGCCCTGGGAGGGCACTGAGGCTGAGATCTTTCCCTGTACAGCGTATGGGACTGATGGTATAAGGGTAGCAGGTGGTGGCAGGTCTCAGAACAGGCTTTTTCTACTTGTACCAACTAAGGTGAATAAAATATAAATTTGTACCTAGACATCATCATCATCATCATAGCCAACATTATATACCATGTGTTATATGTGTGTGTATGAATATACATGAACATCTTCAAAGTCCTGGAGAAAAGTAACTGACAACTGAGTCAAACTATAATTCAAGAGTATGGATAAAATTAGACATTTTCAGACATACAAAGACCAAGAGAGTTAACTACTTTTAGATTCTCCCTAAAATAATTAAGAAAGGATATATATATACTTCAGGAAAAATAAGTGAACCCAGAGAGTTGTCATGGGAAACAAGTAACAATGATGGACACACGAGGGATCAAATATAGTTATAAAATGTGGTATTTAATTTTGTATTATAAAGTGTAAATTCAAACCTGTAAACAAATACGTAATCTCATGTTAATAGTAGACAAACAATAACTTAAGATTTTCTTAGAAAAAATTATAAGAATATTTTCTTTCAAAATTAATGATATTCAGGATTAGTCAGAAATATAATATAGTTTCCACATCAATGGAAAACAATAAAATAAATAAAGAAAATTTGGTCAGCATGTAACAAAAGTGGCGTTAGTAAAAGAGGTAATGAACTACTCTATAAATAGCAAGATACGTGGTATTAGGGTGACCAGCTCATCCCAGCTGGCCTGGGATTGTCTCGGTTTTAGCATTGAAAAGTCCAGTGTCACAGAAAATCTGTGAGTACCAGGCAAACCAGGAAGGTTAGTCACCCTGCCTGGTAATCAAATCCATAAAAATAGATTTACATTTCAATACTGTATCATATACAAAACTAAATCTCCACCCCACCCCCACCAAGAAAACAAGATCAATTCCAGATAACTCAAAGACTATGAACAGCCAAGAATAAAATGCAGGGTAATATCTTTATGATCTTGATGTTCAGAAGAATTACAGCAAAATCTGGAAAAAAAAGAATCATAAAGTTGGCTACATTGAAATATTAAAATGTATTTAATGAGAGGTATAAACAAATTCCACACAGAGACTTGTATATGAGTAGTCAGAGCAGCATGATTCATACTAGCCAAAAAAGTGGCAACAACCCAAATGTCCATCAACTGATGAATGGAGAAACAAAAGATGGTATATCAATAAATGGAATGTTTGTTAGCCTTAAAGGGCATAAAGTATTGAAACTTCAAAAACACTGATGAACCTTGAAAACACTGTACTAAGTGAAAGAAACAAAAGACCTCATAGTTTATTAGTTTATTTATATGAAATGCCCAGAACAGGTAATTTTGCTAATGACTAATGACACTGGACATTTTTTTCATGTATTTATTAGCTATTTGTACATCTTCTTTGGAGAAATGTCTAATCAGATCTTTTGCCCATTTAAAAACTGGTTTGTCTTAAAAAGACAAATACCACATGATCTCACTTATATATGGAATATAATGAATATAACAGTCTGAGGAATAGGGTAGACCCAGAAACATGGAAGCAGGATACAAACTGACAACCCTCAGAAGAGGGGGCGGTTGGGGGGTGGGAAGAGTTAAACCACAGAATGTATATGCATGTATGCATGACCAATGGACATAGACAACAAAGCCGGGGACAGGGTGTAGGGGTGGGGTGGGGAGGAGAGTGTCATTGGGTAAAAAAAGGAGAAACATCTGTAACAAAAATAAAACTAAAAACTAAAAAATAAAATTGAAAAATAAATAAATAAAATATAATTTTAAAAAATTGGTTTGTCTTTTTATTTTTAAATTCTAAGAGGTTTTTATACATGCTAAAAGCTATTGTTTTATGCTAACTTTATCATACTGAATTCTTTTTTTTTTAAGATTTTTAAAATTGATTTTTAGAGAGAGAGAAGGGGAGAAGGAGAGAGAAACATTAATGTGAGAGTGAAATATCAATCAACTGCCTTATGCATGCCCCCTACCAGGGATTGAGCCTGGAACTCAATTATGAGCCTGGAACTCAAGCATGAGCCCTGATTGGGAATGGAACTGGCAACCCTTTGGTGCATGGGACAATGCCCAACCAAGAATCACAGCGGCCAGGGCTTTATTAAATTATTTTGTGTTTGCATCAGTTTAGCCATAATTCTCTTGGGGTTTCTGGAAATACTTTCATATTATCTGCAAAAGGAGAGTTACTATTTATTTTCCAATTTTTAGGCCTCAAGTCATTTTCTCTTATCTAATTTCACTGACTATAATATAATGTTGAGTAGAAGTATCATGGACATCCTTGTTTTTTGTTTTAGCAGGAATGCTTTTTGTTTCCTATTAATGTCAAAATGAATTTTTATCATTGATTATTTGAGTTTGCTTTATCTCTCTATCACTACTGTACTATCTTTTCTATTCCTTTTATTATATTTTCCTTTAAATTTCTTTAAACCATCTTGTATCTTTCCGTCTATTTTTAGCACATTTGTTTATGAATTTTCAGTGATTGTATTGTGTGTAGCTCTATTTTTCCTTAAATGCAAAGTCATTAAAAATGCAGCAACTCTTCTGCATTGTTGCCTTCATGATGCCAGGGCTGAAACTGTCACTAAATAATGGTTTCTTAAAACAAAGACAAACTTGAGAGGCATCTGGGCGGTGTTCTCTCTACAGCAGCATTAATACTGCTTGACTTCCTAGGCTTCTTTTGTAAGCAGAAAACATTACTACCCAGTAGGTATGAAAAAGCAAAGAGAAAAAGAACGATGAATTTGATACAATATTCCTAAAGGAACTGGAAGTTATATTGTAAACTAAAAGCAATATTTATGTTAGCTTTGACATTTTTTTCATGTCTCATTATTTTAAAAGAAGAAATATTTAAGGAGACAATGTATTCTTTAAAAAGTGAAGGATATAATTTTTTAAACTTGAGTTAAATTGTTATTGTTACAGTAAAACATGAAAACGTTAATGGAAGCCAAAGTAGTTTCTCACCATTCAGTAGAAGAAGACCCATGGTTAGATACATTTTGGTAAAATTTTGAGTTATAAAAAGGAAAAAAAAAAAACTTCAACCTTCTAGAAAGGAGAAAATAAATTTATTGTCAAGAGATCAATCAGCAAGAGATTTATAAAATGAGATGCCAGAGGGTTGTAAAGCAGAATTTTGAGAAAGATAATACAAAGGCTTAGAGAACATATTGCCGTTTACTTTTCTTAAAAATTGGCTTTACTGTGTATTATCAACATGGATAGATCTCTGGCTATGTACTTTTTAAACCCCATTTCTCCTTGTTCCAACCCAGAAATAAATGCCATCCTTGATTTGTTGTTTATCATTACTATACATAGTC